ATTTCAGACTAAGAGTTTAGTAATATGAATAATACACAAGTATATATGTATATAATCCAGCCAACAGCTCAGCATTAAGTCTAGTCAGACTATTGAACGGTCTATAATTCAGACTTAGTCTATAGTTTAGTATAATGATCTACTTATATTTCAGAATATTGGCTAGTCTATATTTCAAGCTAAATATTAGTCCATATATCAGTTTATAGTTCAGAACACAGACCAATCTGTAGACTATACAGTTTAGACTATTGACCAGTCTATATTTCAGACTAAGAGTTTAGTAATATGAATAATATACAATTATATATGTATATAATCCAGCCTAAAGCTCAGCCTTTAGTCTAGTCTATAGTTCACACTATAGACCAGTCTACATTTCATACAAATGATCAGTCTACTGTTCAAGATATAGACAATCTATAGTTCGGACTACAGATCAGGCTATTGACCGGTTCTGTCTATGTATTAGTCTATAGATCTTGCAATGGTCCACTCTATAATTTAGATAGTGTACTAGGCTATAGTTCAGAGTCTAGACCAATCTATATTGGTCTAGAATCTACAGTTTAGATTATAGACTAGTCTATGTTTTAGGCTAACATCAAGTCTATAGTTCAAGCTACAGTCTTAACTATTTAGAAATTCATAGATCTGACTACAGACCAGTGCATAATTTGGACTATATACTAATCTATATTTCAAACTATAGACCAGTCTACAATTCAGATAAAAGACAAGTCTATAGAACAGATTATACACATGTTTAAAGTTCAGAGTATAGACAAATCTATACCTCAGATTATAGATAATTTCAATTATGTACAAGTCAACAGATCAGATTATAGATTAGCCAATGTTTCAAACGATCGACTAATGTATAGGTTATATTTTATACCGGTGTATAATCCAGTCTAGTTATTATTCAAGCTATAAATCAGTCTACAATTCAGGGTAAAGATCAGTGTATAATTTACACGATAGACTTTTCTGTAGTTCGGTATATAGTTCAAAATATAGAAAAGTCTTCATTTGTATTAATTTGGATTCGGTGGCAATTCATTTACATACATATAAAGTTATTATAATCAAATAAATTATGTAAGAAATATTGTATTGTTGTAAACCATTTTGTTATGATAATCAGTTTAAATACATTCAACAAGTTATGTAAAATATTTCTTGGAATTTCTTGCAAATTAATCTCATTATCCAAAAGCAAAAGAAAACAATACTGGATTACACAAAAACAAATAAACATTACAATCAGTTATCCTCAAGATGGCATAATCAAAAGTCAATTAATAATTAACAATATAATGGAAAAGTCTACTAGATACATCATTTTTAATATAAGTACTACATACACGTAGACATTACCAATACCTACTAAATAGAATCGAGCAGACTTAAAGAAATATAGGATTTCAACAAACTAAAACATTTTATCACTTATTCCTTCAACAACGAAGATTGGTCATTGTATATCACGACACATATACATTAAACGAGAAAAGTAAATAAAATGGAAAATCATTGTTAGAATATCAAATATACTGTTTGTTGTACTCCCACTGTCTTCGCCCAATACTAAAATAACTGCAGAAACATTATAACATCACATCACAATGTGAACTGAAAAAGTAATTTGATTTAAGGTGTAATTTTCTACTTTTTATTACAAATACTTTGTACGTGTCAAAGGCCTCTATTTGCAAAACGAAACTGTAGTAACAAACGAAACAGCAGAAGCCTTAAAAATAACCATCATCAGCACCAAGGACCGTAATCAAACAGTTGAGGAAATAAGATTTATTTAAGGAGACAATATGAACGGATGTTGTGTTTGCAAAGAATGAAATAAAATGACTATAATGATTAATTATAGGGAGAGACAGCATGCAAACTGGCATGTATAGAAAATCAATATTGGTTTATTATAGTACTTTTGTATAACCAGTAAGTGTAATTTTAAGTAGAATTTAATAAATTTAATAAATATGTAAATAATTTTGTGTAAATTCTTGCAAAACTAAATTTGTCATAAACTTTTGATAGAAAAACTTTAAATATGTAAATTCCAACTAAATATATCAATAAAACTTTAACTAAAATAAATAATGAAATCAAAACAAAGTTGTCAACAAGTTAATTTAATATTTTTCAATCAATCATACGGGATTGTTTTTATTTGGAATTTTTTTTTTTTTAATTTTTATTAAATTCTCTAAAAAAGATGTTTATATTATACTAATACAATTAAAAATTATATACATACATATGATACATACATATGTATATTTTGGCTTTATTTAACAATCATGCTGACCATGTTGTTGTGGATATTAAACCCACAACCACCCACTAATAGAACAAATTACCAATCTAGCAACTAATACCCTTAATCAAAAATCTGTCTGGTTGTAACCATAATATAATGATGAAATATTCAGAGGTTGTCTCGGAATTTTGTTCATATCTCCGTTATTTATAAACGGATTTTGCTGATTTTAAATAGGAAACTTCTTGAAAGCATGTCTGATAGTATTATTGAATTCTGTCAGATTCTGAAGGTATCTGGGGCCCTCAAAAAATTGATTTCAACAGACGGACAGACAGACAGACGGACATGGCTTAATCAACTCCGCTATCTATAAGGATCCAGAACATATGTATGTATATACTTTATAGTGTCGGAAAATTATATTGTGGAAATTACAAGCGGTATGACAAACTTGCAGAAATGTGATTGAGAATGTATTCTAAAGAATGGACATCTGTATGCAGAATGTGTTGGACTTCGGTTCCTTATTAAATTCTAAGACAAAGCAATGTCCGCTAGATCGTCTTACTGACTCAAATACAAAATACATCTATAAAATTCAACATAACTTTTATGTGAATCGGATCATAATTGACTCTACACCACATATAATTTACCGCTTATAAAAATACGAGTACAGCGATGAAATTCGACGTAAACATGTTTTATATGAACCGAAATCTCTCTACTAAATTTTCGGCCTATATTTAACCCTACCCTTCATATATGGACCCATTCACAAAATGACTTTAAGGATGATTACTGGCTCAAAAATATGGGTGTAGCGAGACATGAAGAAGTTCTATACAAACCAATATTTATGTACAATATTTTGTGAGGATCGGTTCATAATTGACCATACCAACCATATAAGGTTCCCTCCAGGAAACAACTTTAACGATGATTACTATAAATAAAACGGTAAAATTCGACACAAATAAGTTTAAAACAAACTGAAACCTCTTTATTGGATGTAGTTCCTTGAATAAAAAAATATAAATGTTTCATCAAAAATTGTTTTTTTTTATAACAAATCTAAATTTGGTCCCAACTCCCAAGATATGTACTTTGTATTTGACTCTAATTTACTCAATCTAGACTACTTTGTCCTCTTGCATTATATATTATATGACCAAAAAATATCTAATCACTTATTTAATACATCTTTTTCTCATCCTTAAAATTTTATTACACATTAAAAGTCCCCCTTGTATAAAATTTGAAAAAGACGAAGGAAATTCCTTAAGAGCAAAACGTGTTGCTAATGCTTTTAAAACTTACAAGTATTCGAATGCCAGTAAAGTTGATAAAAATATTCGTATTTACCACAACACGCATACCAACAACATCAAGTAAAAGCGTTAAATTGTAAAACATTTTCAAACAAATTAGAAATTATAAACCACCGTGGTCGACCTTCTGATGCTCTACATTAGTGGTCAATTAAAATATCGAACCTAACAAAATTAGATTAAGAGAAAATCATTAAGTCGAACTTTACTCGTATGTATTTAAATAAGGCTGATGTCAGAGTGGGCGCTACAAGCGATGCGAAGCTTTGCGCTACAAACCTTTTCTTGTGTTTTCCTATGTGTCATATCAGAGTGAAAGCGAAGGGTGATGCGAGAAAACACAAGTAAAAGTTTTTAGCGCAAAGCTTCGCATCGCTTGTATCGCCCACTCTGACATCAGCCTAAGTCTCTAAAAACGAGCTAAGGTCTCAACTATGGAAATATTCTCAAATACATATACAGAAGGTCTGACATCGCCATATTGACGGAGAAAGTGATTCTTAGCCGATTGTTATACTTAAAGATGGCAACATTTTGGACTGTTACAAAAAGCATTTCGAGCTCATAATAGCCCCACAGTAGCGCAGGGTATAATAACAAGTTTCATGGCTGTTGAAGTAAACATCAACAAGATGTAGATGAAAAATCAAAAAGAATTTTTAAAGCGACTGGGTCGACTGTGAAAAATGAAAAGTACGTGTCTGTGTAAGTGCGTGTGTTCTTGAAAAAAAAAAAATACAAAAAAAAAGGAAAACAACGAAAAAAAGTAGGACAGGATAAGGATGAGGAAATAAGAAAAGTAAAATGAATTGTATTGTATGCTTTTTTTCAAAGTCAATAGAGCAACAGTAGCACGTTTAATAAGGTTGAATGGTTTGATGTACAATTTTTTCTCTTCCTCTCTCTCTCTTTATTGTATTTCTTGTATTTGTTTTCATATATTTTTTTTTTATTTTCTAGTTTACTTTGATATTAAAGCATGTTGCAACAGTTGTTTTCACGTTCAATTTCAAGGCAACAACATATGGTTTGTTTTAACTTAAAGGCTTAGAGAGCAGTAACCTTGAAAAGCTTTCACTTTTTATTGCTCTCTCTCTGTGACTAACACTCTCGCAACATATAAAAAGCTTTTATAATATTCGAATTTAGTTTAATGTCCTTTTTTAAAGGCAACCACATGTAAAAATATGTTTAGTTTTAATACGACCAACGTGATGTAAAGACGAAAATACAAAAAGGACTTAAGAAAAGGATATTAAAGGAAAATAAAACATAAAAAAATAAACATATATTTAATAAAAACTAAACAATAACAACATAAATTTTAAAAATAAATATTATGAATAAATAAAAACATAAAATTTAATCTTAAACAAAAATAAAAAAATAAAAAAAATATTACTTTAAAATTGTAAACCTTTCTTTAAAATACTTAATAAAAATTTAAACAGCTATTACTACTTTTTCAAATTGTCATTGTGTTAGTGTTGTAATTAGCATAAATTAAGTAAACATAAAAATTAATTTGCATACTGTTAGGAGTTTCATTTAATAACAGTTTTTGTGTATTTCAAAAATAAAAACAAAATAAATATAAATATTTTTTTCAAAAATTATAACGACAAATAATTGTGTGTCTCTCTGTGTGTGTGTATGCATGTACTTAAAAAGTCATTTGCATAATTAGCCACAAATGACTTTTATTTAAAATATTCTTAAATAAGTGTATTAAATTATAGAGTAAAACAAAAAAAATTTTAAATAACAAATAAATAATTTAAATAAAATTTATTCAAATAAAAACAAATTGTTTAATTTTAAATGATAATTATACAAATATTGCAGCAATCATATAAAGGTAAGTTGTTAAATACTATTTTTCTTATATTTATCTAATTTGTATGTAGAATATTGTTTTTATATTGAAAGTTTTGGAAACAAAATGTGCTTCTTACACATTTGTATTAAGATCAAGGTGGTTTTGTATGATTTTGCTGAAAATTGAATCTTTGACCCTGTAAATAAATATTTGAAGTTGCTGGTTTAATTTAGGTTTTCTTTCATTTTCTATAACTGGTATTGAAATGCAAACACTTTATAAATCAATATTGAACGTTACCAGAATAATTTAAGAAAAATAGTTTAAATTTGTTTTATTTAGTTTTTTTGTTTATTACAAGGTTAAGGTAAAAGTGATAAACAAAGATAGAGGTTATATGTATGTATATTCAAAATAAACGAACATTTCTTAATTCCATTTTAAATTTAAAGGATTTTAGCCAAAGTCAATGAATTGAACAAAAATTTTTAAGTACATAAGCAAATGTTCGCGATCATTTTTTTAAAATGTGTTAAAGATAATTAAAATTTTTTGCATAAAATTCTTCAAGCCAATTGTATAAAAAGAAAGAAAGTTTAAAAAAATTTAGACTAAAAAAAATTATTTAATAAAATTAATTTGTATTAAGCGAATTGTGGACACTTAACTCATTTTCTGAAGGTGTCTTTGTGGTCGTATCATTAGGGTCAAGTGAGACCGGATCATAACAAAATACGTCAAGGTCATCAAGGAAAGTATAACTTAGTTTGTTTGAAAGGAGGATGTATATGCACCAAATCCGAAAAAATACACCTACCCTACACCTAGTATATACATACGTACGACAACACTATGCAATGTTGACAACGCAACGTTGTCAAACTTAGTTATGCAGCTTTTTATTGAGACACGTATTAACCCTAGTCGGGCGGTTCAGTTGTATGAATTAATGAACCAAAACATTAACTATATTCAATAGGCTTCATCACTGAGACATTAGAAGATCATGTACTAAATTTCTTTGAATGATCTTCAAAATTGCGACCTGTATAAAGTTTACATGGACGGATGGATGGACAGACGGACGGACGTACAAATGTTTCTAAGTCAATTGATATATGATTATTATTAGAGTTGTGTAGAGTATAATTAAAGATAGTTTTTTTTCTTTTATATTATTTCAAATTTTGTTTTTAGGAAAAAATATGTAAAAACATTTTGAATAATATTTTTATATAATTTTACGAAATGGTTGTTTTGATTAATCTTATGCAAAAATAAAACTTTAATTATTTTTGACACATCAAAAGTTATGTCAATTTTTACGAAATTTTTAAGCTCTTTAAAAGCTGTAGTGTTACGTATTTAAAAAAATTTGTTAAAATCGGTGTCTATGGGAATAATCTTTAATATTTAAAATGGAATTTGCCTTATACACCTCAACAAAAACCAAAGTAGGTCTTTCAATAGAACTACATCATATCCTGTAAAAAAAAAATACAGCTTTAATTTTTTGAAATTTTATATAATTTTGGAAAATTTCAAATCGGCCTATCCATTCCACATAGAGTATAAAAAAATTATATTATTTTCTCTCGAGCGGCAAAGAGTCGAAGAGCTTTACGTGAACACCTGCCATTTTGGCCTTATTTCACGGTGGTAATTTTCCAACTACAGCACTTTGCTCAAGTACTAGAGCTATCTAATCTCTGACTATTTCTTAGCTTCTGACATGCAAAAACATCACTCCCATTTACAACTACGCAGATGGGATATGTTGAGACAGCAACAGCATCTAGAGACGTATTCGATAAACTGAAATACGAACCCATCAAATAATTCGAAGACTTGTTCTGAATGACATAGAGTATGAAATGAGTACACCCTGAATATACCTGGACAAGAAAGGCAAATTCAATGGTATCTCTTGTACAAAATACCTTTTATTCATCATCATTCAACCCAGTACACTTCACGTTCGTCCGACACGCTCATACTCAAAGAACACTCACTTTATGTATACGGTGGGTAAGATCCGAACACCCCTACGTATCATATACACTTAACACCAACTCATTTCCAACGCTTAATTCTACAGTTACACCACTGTGGGGCATCTTTTGTCTTGGCGATAACACCGAACTTATACCGATTTATAGACTTTACTGACATTCTCTTCCCGCGAATTTGAGTTTAAACCACAGCCACCTAAGGGACCCCTCCAATAACCGGGACAAGACAGAGTCCGAAACACTGCCCTGTGCGCTACCGATTTCCGAGGTTTCAAAATATGTGGTTCTCTAGTTCGACCCCATGTCAAATCGTTGCAAGGAAAGGCCGAGGATAAATTTGATCATCACCAATTTATTGTCCAGGCAATCTGGAGGTGATTGCAATAACACCAAGATACGTCAAGGAAACATGCCCCCGCTGAATTCATTCATTTATGGCAACAGAAATGAAGAAGAAACAGATTTCTTCTACTAACATAATTTATCCCATAAAAAAAATCAAATTTATATATTTGATTAAAATTTGCTTAAAAAATATTATATAATCTCCAAACAAATTATAATTGTTTCCTAAAGTAAATAAAAAATAAAGATAAATAAAGTAACCCTTAAAAATGTAAATAGGGATAAATGAGGTCTACATAATACTAAATTACCCATATTGTTTGCAAAATACTTAACGAGAACTTTCCCAAAGAATTATTTTAAATTCATAAATTTTAAAAAATCTGATTGAAAAAAAGCTTAAACTTAAGTACAACAACCCTTTCCCATAAAAAGGAACAAAGACCTTTTGCAAATAAGAAAGAAAGTTAACAAACAAAAAGCCTTTTTGAAAAAAAAATTACTCATACGCCTATATGAACTTGGTATGTTTGAATCTCATTTTGGTAATGTTTTGTTGTTGCTGTTGTTTTCAGTTTTTCTTTTTTCGTTTAGAAAAATCAACATCTTTTTTTGTTTGTAACTTTTCCTCTGAAAAGAAAAGCAATTTGTTACGAAAACATTTATATGTATATGTTTTTATGTATGTATTTTTTAGGTTCTAAGTGTTTACACTTGTATGCAGTGTTAACAAAACCCTTATGTATATAATGTGGCAAAGTAAATTGTCTTATCTGTGGCTACAAATAAAAAGTGAATATCTCAAGTTATATAAAATACAAGTTTATCGATTTTTCAAATCTTAATATTCAGCTATATTGAATGTTTTGGAACTTTTGAAGGTAAATTTATTTCAATTTATTACATTTTCTATATTTTCAAAAAGATTTAAAATATTTTCTTATTTAAACCGACTTATATACTTTTTCTCTATCTACCACAAATTCGTATACGTGTGAATTTGTAAATTAAAAACGTTTAAATGTTTGTGGAATATAATGTGAACAAACACTTATACTCCTCACATACATTTTATAGACATACGAGCCCGAAGTAAGAAAAATATACATTTTGCAATTTAACACACCCTTCTTCACAGGGGAACTCGGGGGAATATTGCATGTAAATATTTTTATTGACAATTCTCTTAGAGTTATTATGACAGCTTTAGGAATTTTTACTTAAATGAAATTCACACATATACTTGAATGCTTAGACATAACAAAAATATAATTCCAAAAATAATAAATGTAAAAACTCTTTACATAAAATAATATTAAGCTTTTAATAAAAATAAAAACCTAAGATTTTATGATGCAGGAACAAAGTTCGAGTACTTTTGTGAATATGTACTTTAAGTGTCAGAAAGGAAAAAAGGAATAAATGTATTAAATTTTTTACTTTTTTCCAATAAAAATTGAAATGAATATTAGACCAATAATAATAAAACTTTTTAAATATTGTTGTACTAAAGACCTATGTACTTGTATAGGTTATATTGGCTTTAACATAAATACTTAATCACATTTAAAATTTAATTTGTGTAATATATTTCTAAAGCTTTAGTATTTTTAATACTGTTGTATAGGAATAACTCAAATTATCAATAATATTTGAACATGATTTTTAAATCGTTTAAATTTTTGTAAATAAAAAATTTTATATTTTTTCATTTAGTTGGACAAATATTTACAATTTTGAAATAGCAATTGATATCGGATAAAACTTTGTTTGTACAGTTTACTTAAAAAGGGCAAAAAATTTAACATAAACTTGGAAATGTAGGGAGTTTTTTTTTAAGATTTAGATCCATTGTTCTAAAGAATTACAAAAAGTCTATTTTATACGCAAAATTAAAAAAAAATAATGATATATTAATTTGTTACATCCATTTGTAACACATGACAATTTTGGCAGTACACTTATTAAAGCATTTATACATTGGGTCCTGATTAAATTCTAAGATGTTCAAAGATTGTCCCGCAATCATTTTGTCCATCTGTTTTAGACATGAAATTTTCCACAAATATTCTTCATTAATAGGTCTTGTTTGGTATTTAAATTTGCAAATATCAATCAACAATTGCACTTAGCCCTCATACAAGTGGGCTCCCGGAACATATGTAATTCAAACAGTTATATATATGTTGGTTATGAAGCTGTCGTGACAATCGATTTGCTCTTGAGGTTATTAATATAACAGTTTATTGTAAATTAGCCGATGATTGTTTGGTGGTGTGTCATAATGTCCATAGTCCTTATGACACACTAAGTAATGTCCATGGACATAATGACAATTTCAAAAGAATCACAATGTCCAAGAGCAATGCAACAGAAAGTCCATGGACTTATAAAAAAAGGCTTATTTTAGCAAAGCCGGTATTCAAAATTTTCCAGAGTTTGAAACCCCTGCGACCGGCCGAAGGCCGGCTATCCAGGACACTTTTTAAAAGGAATCCAAAATGCAACATACACCAAATTTAGGAGCAATTCTTTTCGGGATAAGTGTGTCCCAAAAATTCTAAACAAATTTTCCAATACATTTCTGTTTTAAAAGTGTCACAATGTCCATGGACATTAATACATTTGTGTGTCATAAGATCTATGGACATTATGACACGGTGCGTGTCATAATATCCAGTG